CTAACCATGAGCCAAAAAATATTTTCTGCTAACAAAAACACTTAAACCAGTACCACTGTGTGGACATTAAGTTATGTACACCAATGTGGAGAGGGTCTCTGTGAACTTTGTACATACTTTTTCTGCTGAAGCTGCAGTATAAGGTGGACACACAGAACTGGTTTGAACTGTAACGAAAGGACGCTGGACACAAGGGCTACTATATTGCTGAATATAACTTCAGCGATAGACTGATTCATCCACGGTGCGACAGGGCGCGCTACAGGAGGTCATTCTTGCCTTCTGCCATAAGACTGTACAACGCATCCACCTTGCGTCTGGGCAGGGGCAACATTGACAGTGACCTGTTTCTGGACTGAACGCATCTACACATCTACTGCTACATCTGTTCTCTTTCTTTTTCTTTTCCCGTCTACAACCGTTTTTTGTGCAATATATGCCAGGGACCTGTGCAATACATTTATATCTATATCTATATTTACATCTATATTTATATTCATATGTGTGATACAGTTTTTCTGCGTACTTTTCTGTTCTAGTTTGTTCTTTGTGTGTCCGGATCGTGAGTAACTCCTTTAGTGCACCCCTCACTGTACTGATTGTATTGTATGTGTTGTACTATTGTTATTATTGTATCATTCGTTACACTGTGGCTGTGTTGTCTGTGTTAAGCTGCTGTTGCACTGCAATTTCCCTCACGGGATCAATAAAGTATCTATCTATTTACTATGTAACTCTATACTGTGTTATAGAGGAAACTAAACTAAGGCGCGCTACGAAACTGAGTAACCAATTGTGTTAAAAGAAGTTATCTTTTGCAAACAGGGAAGTGGAAGTTGTGCGTGGTCTTGGAACTATCTCAATCTCCTAAACCCAGGGAAGTGCGACTGTTCTAGTTTAATCGCTTTGAGAAAAAGACACCGAGCATCTCGGTGTGTTTCGCTCCCATGTGCAAGAAATAAAAACTTCTGAGATGGACTTCCTGACTGTCTTTTATGGGAAAGCGGGAAACTTTCTCCAACACTTAAGGAACACTGGCCCATATTCACCAGACGAAACTGCTATCTCCACAGGGCTGCACAAGCTTCACTACAGCACTACATCACAAAAAGACGCTTACAGCAGGTTCTGCACAGCGATCCGCACGAGATTCAGCTCCACATCCGCCTCTGCAGAGATCTTCTGAATGTGACGGAAGCCGTCGATGTAGGGCAGGATCTGCCACACAGAGAGCTGATCTTAGCAGCGAGAAAGAGTGCGCGGGAAACCAGTTCCACAAGATCTGCGCCTGAAACCTGGGAAATCTTGTACTGCCAGGGCTGCCCCCAGACTGTGGATCTGCCCGTACCTGCTGTGTGGTGAGGTCCCACTGTGACCTGTAGAACTGCTCTTTGCACTGCGTGAAGACGGGCACATCGTACTCCTGCACAATCGCCGGGTCCTTGCGCTGCTCGATCAGCTTCAGGTGGATGGTATTGGACTCATCTACGGCGGCCAGAAAGAGAGAGAGAGAGAGAGAGAGAGAGGACACAGAAGGGAGATTACAAACGAGAGGAGGCCATGCAGTCTATCCAGCCTGTTTGGTACTTATAAGCTGATTGATCCCGACTGTTTCTTCAGAGAAGCCAGGGTTATCGCCTTCAAAAATATGCCTGGGCAGCTTGCTCCACACTCCCACCACCCTCTGTGTAAAGAAGTGCCTCCTAATCCCTGTGTTAACTGCTTGTCCACATAGTTTCCACCTGGCTCCTTTGGTTTGTGTTTCACCGTTGAGGCCCTCTTTAGAATCAGTCCTCTTTGCTCACACTGACACACGCGATGCTGATCGGTGCATGAAGAGAATGGCCCGGCCTGCAGCTGGACAGTCTTGGGGAGCTGCACTCACCAATGGGCAGGGTGCACGCTCCCTTGGCATTGAGCTCCTCCAGCAAGGTGGACATAATGGGCACCAGCTTCTGCTTGCTCTCCTCGTTGGAGATGAACCCACTTTCCAGCTGCAAAACAGGGTTAAAACCGAAACCAGTCAACAGACGATGAACTAAACCCACAGGATTATGCACAGCTGCCACCTGCTTGAATATTAGATCTTTCTTTTGCCCCGTGTTCACTGAGCACTGTTTTTAGGATATAAAAAAACAAACCACTGAGCTTTTCCACAAGAGCTGAATTTCTCCAAAAATTATTCTTTTTTGACATTCTTAGATTTTAAAACCCTGTGATAAAAACCCTCTAGTTGAATTACAGTACAGGCCTCAGCATCAAGACATTCCTGAGTACGTTTCTCACCACAGTACGGTCAGTTGTTCATAAAGACATTAAGTTGCAGCAGTGTTGACAAGGCATTAGTGCTGATGTCTGCAGTCCAGAGGGAAGGTCACGGGTTCAAATCCCAAGCAAGACACTGCCGTACCACTTCTGAGCAAGGTACTCAACTTGCACAAGTAAAATGCCCTGCTGAATATTTAGGTATTTCCCTAGACTGTCATGAGAGAATGAGAACGGCGTTTAATGAAGAGTTCAGAAGAGCCTGCAGGAAGTGAGCAGGTACCTCCAGTGTCGTCAGGTATCCAGACAGTTTTTTGACAATGGGCTCCAAGGCGCAGGTCTTAGCCTGGGCGTCGCACACGAAGCCCAGGTTGAAAAGCAGAGCGTTGCGGCTGTACTTCTTGTGCTCAATACACACTGGGCAGCCAATCAGCTTCTTCTCCATCGCCGTGCTGCACCAATCACAACACATGCTGGCATTAGGTGACACCGCCCACATAACTGCTGGATCTCTTCCCACAATATAGTGCAATGAAGCACAGTACTATCAGGGTAGAGGAATATAACAAAGCTCTGGAATTCTAACTCCAAATATATCAGAGAGCCGCTTACCCTGAGGGCAATTAAATCTAGACTCGAAACCTTTCTGTTCAGAAAGGCTTGTACTTAATTAGCGTCTCTTCCATTTTCTAATGACATGTCTTACCTACTGTCTTTCTTATAGGTGCTTATATTGTAATTTGTTACCCTTATATAACCTATAACTGTTTTTTTTATACCTCCCTAAAGTGCTTTGAGATAATACTTTTGAAGGTGCTATAGGAATTAGTTATTATTGTAATAATATTAAACAAAGCTTGAAAACATTTTCTACAGCGATTAGAAAACCTAAAACGCACAATCGGCGTCAGAACTTGGGCCCACGCTGTCAGGAAACACTTACACTGTGATGAGCTTGTTCTGGAGCTCAGGCTTGGTAATGATGTACACCTGCACTGTATCAAAGAGCTCTCTAGAGATGTATTCCTCAGGAACCTGAACAAACAGAACACAGGGCACAGGGCAGCAGACCTGTCAGAATGGCTGAAAGACCAGTGAAAAGTGCTTGAGATGCCATAACCACATTCACAAGGAGCAGACGCAATGAGAGCAGAATTCAAACCAATGTCAATGTCAGCTTAATTCTTTCGGGAATCACACCTCCACTGTTCAACACTAGACAGGTTCCACCTCTTCGGAAAACACTCGGTGTGCAGGCTACACAGTGCTGGTGTGCTACCCGTAGCGTGTGTTATGGAACTGTTCCGACCCCCACAGTACAACGTAGGATCTACTACACGAAATGCAGTTTGTTCCCCAACTTCATTTTCACAGGTGGGGACCCCGTATTCTTGCCCCAGTATTTATTCACGTTCCTGGAAAAGGGGCTCTACGTTTTAGTTTCCAAAGAGAGGGGGGACCCCAGACGTCTTATTTGTCAAAGGGGCTTATCCCAGATGACATTTTTCGTGCAAACAGGTGTTCGCATCATCTCAGAGGTCTTGCAGAGGCAAACCTCAAGGGGAAGTATCCCACAGATTGCCCAGGAGCTGGGGACACCGACCAGGCCGTTAACAGCCCGGAACACCGCGGACTGTCCTCGTCGCCTGGAGCGCGGATTTTATTCCAGATCAGGCTTCAGTCAGCGGTGTAGCTGGAGGTCTTGTAACGGGTCTGCGGTGCCTCAGGGTGCACACACCACCACGACTCTATCATCGTAATAAAATGCATTGATTTTAATCAGGTAGTTGGGAATAAAACGACATTAGCTATTTCCCCCGTCTAGAATCCTTGGCATGAACAAAGACCACTCTCCTGCCACCTAAGATAAGCTAAGAAAGCGATCTGGCGAGAAACGACGAAGAGTAGGAAGAAGCACACTGACTATAACGATGTTGTTTAGTCTAACCTGGTAGGTGATTTTGGGCCCCAGAGTCGGGTGAAATTCACTGAAGAAGACGCACTCGATGCGGCTGCTGCTCCCCATTCTCGAGCGAAAACGGCACGCAAAATGTTAAAGGAAGTCTGCATGCAATTCGGCAGGAACAAATCTTCACCAGGTCACGCACAGAAGAGCCAAAAAAAGCTGCACACCCACCCAGCGCTCTGGGCTTCTCAACAGCAGCTCCACATCCAAAACAAACGAGGAGAGCAGCGTGTGTTACTGGATATAATCCTCAGTGCACCAGCGAGCGCCACCTAGTTAGGGGGTGTGAAACACCTGCGTGTTACGCTATCATTGTAGGTGTCTGTGTGTGTTTGAATTCCATGCCATGGCAAAATTTATTCGCGCGTCTTGAAACTCAAACGAAGTCGCAGGAATCGGGCTAGAACCGGAAAGGCGATGTGTACGAATGAGGTCACCGCATCACGTGTGGAAACAGGAAGTAGGAGGGCTGCCACGTGGGTGGCGAACGGCTGTGTTGGAAGGGGCGGGGCTAAACACACCGGAAAAAGGGGGGAGGGGGAGGCGAGGAAATCGTGTCGTCTTCTCTTTCAATTGGCGGATCCCCGCCAGGGGGCGGAGTCCTTCCTTGTGATTGACGTGGACTCTGGCCGAGGAGAGCGAAGCGACTTCCTGTGTCAATCTGTAGTCGCGAAACAGCAGCAGTCGATGTGATGGTGATGTTTCGTTTTAAAGTAAACGCTGCGGGGGGACTCTTAGAATAAAAGCTTTTCCACCCCGTTAGATACAGGTAAGGTATGCGTCTAGCACTTTACTCTACTTAATGCTCCTAATTTAAGAACGAGGAAAGGACAGGAAGTTAAACCGTTCAGCCGTAAGGTTCTTGAACCGTTTTTTTTTAATTCAAGCATCTATTTACACATGAAAACCTTAAGGACCATTTTAAATTAAATCCAGCCAGTGTGCAGGTACTGATTCTGCGTCCGTGCCAGTCTCGGTCTTGGGTGAGCGGTGGCTGGTTAAGGGATAAAATCATCGCTTTTTTTTTGTTTCTGTGTTTAATTTTACCGCTTCAGAGCTGTTTCAACGGCGCTGTGCAGCTTCCGCTCTGATTGGAGCTGTGCTCGATTGCAGGGCTGAGAAACCGCTACCGATACCACAGGGGGGCGTCATTAGGACTCCTTATCCTAGGGCTCCCTGCCTTGTCCACTCAGGAGTGGAGCTGGTGCATTGACACCAGCGGGTTAAATTACAATTTAACTTTCAGTTGATTGATCTCCCCAAGCCAGTTATCCAAGCTGCCAAGCGTGTCAAGAGCGAGTGCGATATCCCCGTGGAAAACGACTGAGTTGTCTTGCATGGGAGCCTTATCTGTCTCACCCTGTCTCCGGGGAATATCAGGGTATCTCATTAAAATGACCTCTTCGAAAACAGGTTTTTTTTGTTTGGGGGGGCTTGTAAAACTTTCGTGTCCTTGGCTGCGTGTCTCAACGGCAAAGGAGGCGGAAATTCCTGTTCACTTTCTTTTTAAAATATATATATATATTTTATTCATACACCAGAAATCCGAAAAGGGAGACAGAATATTAAATTAGATGCAGAAATAAGACACTTCGCAGCCAGAGGAATTCACAATTGTAAGAACTAGAAACTATACTTCTGACATATGTCCATTGTATGTCTTTTACATTTCTGATAGAATTTAAATTAAAAAAGGAATTCAACTTTAAAGACATGAATAGAAGGAGCAGTATTAGCAGTATTTACTTTCGTGAATGAAGTATTTAGCCCAAATAATTAACAGATTAACAATAAAAACATATCCTCTATCCGAATCGGATCTAACAAAACATACAATAATATCAACATGATTCAGTTTAACGAACCCCTGGGGTCTGGATGACCGCAGTGTCAGAGCCGGGACAGGTGAAAGGGGTGGGGCTTGGAGGAACTCTCTTATCGTGCAGATCCAGCCCCCTCATGCACTCGCCCTGACGGATCAAGGAGAATCGCTGATCGAGAAGGTTTTCCACGGATGCAAGTTTAATATTTTTTTTTAAAGAGTGCGTGCTGACTGTGAAGCGTCTTTGTGAAATAAAGGCGGGTAGCTGCGTCAGCATGCGTAGGCTGGAAAGGAACAAGAAATAGGTTTATTCCATGCTGAAAAAAGAAAGAAAACGCAACGTTTCGGAAGGCTCCACGGCCGAAACTTTGTGTTTTCTTTCTTCTTTTTTTCAGCATGGAATAAACCTATTACTTGTTCCTATGTGAAATGAAGTTTGTTTTGATAGGTAAACAAACAAAAAAAGAATCCCAGCGGAAAACTACGCAGTGTTGTTGCAGGTGCCTTCCCTGTCGCTCTGTATCTCCGGGGGACATCGGGGTAACTCATTAAAATTGAACAAGTAACAGGTTTATTCCATGCTGAAAAAGAAGAAAGAGAACACAACGTTTCGGCCGTGGAGCCTTCTTCAGGTGAACTACCCACCTGAACTACTCATTAAAATTGACCTCTGTGAAAAAAGCAGTTGTTTTTGCTTGTACAACCTGCGTGTCTTCGGCGGCGGCGCCAGTGTGCGTTGTGATCTCCTCCCCCGGTTAAATCCCTGCCCTTCCCTTTTCTCCCTTCCCGGCCCCCCGCGCAGCCCCGAACCGGAGCCGGAGCGTTTCGGGGAGCCCAGCGACGGCAGCCCTGGATGGGGCTGGCCCCGACCTCGCCCCGCCCCGTGTCTCGAACCCGAGGCAGTCTGGTTGGAGGCCCGCGAGGATGGCGCAGGGAGTGGAGCCGGAGACCAGGGCGTACCGGCACCTGAGGAGAGCCGCCGGAGTCCTGGCCCACCTCCTGGGCGCGGCGTTCACGGTCTTCATCGCGGTGCTGGCCCGGCCCGGGACCAGTGAGTACCGCCTCCTCCTCCGCCTTTCGGGGCCGCCGCTGGATTAGGGAGCAGCCCTCTGGCTTCCTTGTTCTGGGAACCAGTGGGCACAAGGCGGGGCACACTCTGGGGCCGCTGGATTAGGGAGCAGCCCTCTGGCTTCCTTGTTCTGGGAACCAGTGGGCGCAAGGCGGGGTACACTCTGGGTGGGACACTCGCCGCAGATCCCATGGTGCTCCAGGGAGGGTCTTTCGCAGTAGCCCGTGGTCTTTGAAAGCGTCTGACAGCATGCTGCAGTTTCGGGGGCTGAGCAGGACAGAACTGCCTGCGACTGCTGCAGCCTCGAACCCCTGTCCCCTTTCATTGTGTTTCAGGCTTGTTTTCTTGGCACCCCTTCCTGATGACCCTCTCCGTAAGTAGGACTTCCTTCCTGGCGTCTTTTCCGTGCCTTTCGGGCGTCGCCCCCCAGAAACGGCGCTCCCCCGGGTCCTGCTGTTTGGTATTCCGAGGCGTGGGACGGACTGCTGCCTCCACGCGATGAGGACAGCCAAGGGAGAAGAGCAGGAGAAGTAAATTAAGAAGGAGAGGAATGTAATTCAGGATAAAAGGAGCTCCGCCTAGCATGTTCTGCATTTTATATATCACGTAACTAATTAGGCAAAATGCATAATTAGGGTAGAGGGTGCTGATTTTAAGTGCACCAATTGTATTCCAATAGATCAGGAATAGGGCATGGAGACTGTAGCAGCAATGCTGATGCACAGCGACCCCTGTTAGGCAGAGGCCAGACGCATCCTTTATTTTCTTCCTGAACCTTTTTTTGTATTCCTCTTCCCTTCCTGCCCTCCCCCAGTTCTCCTTCCTCATGACGGAGGCCCTGCTCCTCTTCTCTCCGGACTGCTCCCCTCTGCAGCGGTTTTCCTACAAGGTCAAAGGTCGCTACCACTGGATACTGCAGAGCCTGGCTGCCACCGGTGCCGTTCTGGGGCTGGCGGCTGTCTTCTACAACAAGTATCTCAACAACAAGCTGCACTTCACCACCTGGCACGGCCTGATCGGCGTGTCCGCCGTCCTGTGCGCTGCGGCGCAGTCCCTGGGTGGGGTCTCCTTGCTGTACCCCAAGCTGGTCAAGGCCTGGTCGCTGGCCAAGCTGAAGCGCTACCACGCGACCTCGGGGCTGGTGGTCTACCTGCTGGGCTGCACCAGCCTCCTGCTTGGCATGTGCTCTCTGTGGTTCACGACGGCTGTGCACAGCCTGGGCTGGTACCTGGCCTCCCTCTGCCCAGCCCTCTGCGCACTGGTCATCATGAACCAGGTCACCAGCTCCTACGTGGCGAAGAAACGGTTCCAACCGTAACACGCCCTCCATCCTGTCTGTCTGAGAAACCCTTCCAGGCAGAATTCCGCATGTTGTTTCATCTGGTAGTTCAGGTGGGGAGCTGCGTCAGCACGCGCAGGCTGCAAAGGAAGAAGTGATGGGTTTATTCCAGGCTGAGAAGATAAGAAAGGAAACGCAACGTTTTGGCTGTGGGGCCTTCTTCGGGTGTATTTTCTTTCTCCTCTTTCCAGCATGGAATAAACCTATTACTTGTTCCTTTAATCTGGTGGGTTGTTAAAACCCAATGTTTCAAAAAAATGCATCTTGGTGGAGTTTAACATGTGTCGATTTGGATTTTTTTTTAAGTTGTGTAAACTCAAGGAGTAAAACTTTTTGCGAATGGGTAACCGAACAGGTTTCGAAGTCGGAATGGACGTTGCGGATGGATCACAAGAAGTATGGACAGAAACCCATATACCTCGTTGATGTGTGCATCAGCTCGACATTGTGAAATTCGTCATTCCTGCCACTCCCACAGCAGTATTGTTCGCATAGCAGCAAGCAGAGGTTGATTCCATACTGGACAGTAAAAAAGAAAAGAACAACTGATGATTTATTTGCCTGTGGCATTTTCTGTGAGTGTGCCCTTCGTTTAAAATTCATTTTCTGGGATTTTAATGCCTTTTATTATGTTAAAAATATATTCCAGAATGCCCATCTTTGGCAGTTAAAATTGGAGGGGAAAAAAGGTCACTAATGAAAATCTCATGGTTATTCCGATGATGGATTTCCGGAAGACCTTGCACAGCAGTCAGGTCACACTGGTGTAGATGAAATAATGACGCCACGTGTGGCTGATGCAGCTAGATGCTGGACTTTTATCAAGTAAGTAAGTTACAAACTGCGGTCCCCAGTGCCAAGATCTGATACCACGTTGCTGTTGCCGATAGTATTGCTTAGAAAAAGCTTAGAAATAGCAGATTACATTTTTCTTGTCATGGCTGTGTTTTGGAACACGGCTACTCCTAATGAAAGTCTTCCAGGATTTCAATTCTAGTTGTGGTATTGGGGTTATTTATTTAATGGCATAATGTAGGAGGTTATTTACTTAATTGGCCACAGTTATGGTTATTATTGTGCTGTCTGTGCCTGGTCTTTGGAAAATCCATGCAGTCCATGCCTGCTGTGCTGGATTTTGGATGTCTCTGTGTCAGCAGGTCCACTCAGGACTTTGACTCGATGTTATTGCTGAGAAGCATTTAGTTCCTGTCTTGGAATTTGAAGGGAGAAGGTCATCGACGTCGTGGTTGGGACTTCCAGCTCCCGGTTTCACGCTGATTAAAACGCCCGTGATGCCAAACACGAGAAAGTGGGCGCCAAGAAATTTTAGATTTTTTTTTATTCTGTTTTTCCAGTAAATTTAAAAATAAAAAATACGGATTTCAATTGTGTGCATGCACTGTGCTGAAATATGTTTTATTGTTCATATACGTGAATTCCTTGGGTTTGAGGAAATGCTGTCTGCTTACATTATCCTGCCTAATACAGACACGTTTAATCTGTCTAGTCTACAAATTGTCCTTTTTGTGCTTTATGTAACTATTATATAGACTACTAGTGATACTATGGAAGGTATATCCTCGTGCACAAGAAATTCCCAAAGCTGCCCCACCCAACATCACTGAATCCTAAAGCGAAGAACTGTCTTTTGTAAGAAGCAGTATGTGTTCCACGTTGCAGGAAACATATTAACACTTTATGGTGCTTCACCGGATGTTTAAATCCTTTAACCTTCTGGGAGGTAAGTTCATTTTGGTGGTTACAAAAACCAAGATGATGTCCGTGCCTGCCTGCTTCAGAAGGATTGAGCTGCACAACAAGGCAAGTAATGTTCTGAGCACTTGTGAGCACCATGAGCTGGTTTCCTGTCACACAAGCCTTCTGAGGCTCGTATCTCAGCCCTTGTGGTTTTTCAGAGCTTCCTGCTGAAGCCTGATTTGTGAGGCAGATGCATCAGCTAGCTTACGGTAACCGTTAGAAATGGTCCGACTTCTGACCCCAACTCCAAAACTCATTTTTTTTTCTAGATGCTTATTTTCCTTGATGCTAGTTTGGCTGAAGACGAATTAATTCTCACTCTATAAAGTCTGTGCCTTTTATTTTTTGAGATCAGGGTTAGTGTTTATGAGGTTTACACAGCACGGTGTATGTTACGGAAAAAAAGGTTCCGGATATCATGTGTCCAGATATCAGGATACTTCCTTTTGAGCCACAGTTTATTATTGTTGCTTTGTTAATTGTGTCTATTTTGGAATGCTCTACTCTCCTTCCTGTTCCAAGATATGTTTCTCTAGCACTTCAGATAAGAGCAGGACTTACTGTTTTACTATCTGCGTCGCCAGATATAATACTGCGATGACCAAATCCAGGGAGTGCTCAAAAGTCTACTTGTCAATCAACTGCGCATTACCACCTCTAAAACACCCGAGACCTTAAGGCTCCTTCAGCTACAGGGGTTACACTGACAACTGGTGGCCATTAAGTATTACTGCAGTGATATAAAGAGCAATCAAATCTATTTTTCCCAAATCAGAAATTTCAGGGTCCATCCTCCATCCTATTCAGGGTCTCGATTATGAAAATACCTTACATTTACAGAGAGGACAGACTGTCTGCAATCTATCAGCTGTAACACAAGCAGGAGTCAGAGTGTTAACTTCATTTTATTAAATGACAGGGATTAGGGAATTGTATTGAACTCAGGACCCAACACCAGTGACACAGATTTTTTTTTTGTATTACTGTTAAGGAAGTTTCCTTGAAAATAGTTTCTGATAATATTCTGGCCTATATCAATCCATATTTTTCAATTTTAAAATGGGTTCTATGTTGATTAAAATATTTCTTTGGGTAGGATCTGTCCAAAACTAATTCTTTTTTTGTTTATGCTCTTTTAGGTTGTTAAGCTGAATCAGATTGATCTTTTTATTTAAGTGACCGATCCGCCCCGTAGATACTATCACCATTATACCATTTAATCTTTTTTTATTATCTTCCAATGTATGCCAGTGGTATAAAGACACTGAGGATCTGAGGCTGTTTTTAAAATGTAGCCACCCCAAGGTCAGGAGAGTTTAATGATACAGGAGTCCTTTATTCCACATTATGAAAAAAAAAACTTAATTCAGAAAAGGTATCTTCGCAACAGCAAATGATAAAAACACATTGTTTCTGCAAAATCTTGGTCTTGGAAAGAGAACATTTTCCCTCTGAGGTTTTGAAGTGTGAGCTTTAACCAATATACATATACAGTTCCCCACAACAATTCCAGCAACTGGACAAATTATACATCACTTTCTATATTCGCCTTTTTTCAATTTGTATGTAAAGAGAGCAATGATTATTTCTAGCGTTATAAATTCTAGGTTGTACTGAAATTTGAATTTCTCTGAAAAAAAAAGTGTTGACCTTGCAGGAAATGACACTATTTGACACTGCAGATTCATCCTTCGTCACTGCAGTAATTTACACACCTCATGTAGGTATGATAGATAAGCACTAAACAGACTCAATAGAAAAACTCTGCACTCTGGTTTAATTCAGAAAAATGCTCCAATTGCTTTAAATCAAGCACCACTGATTGAGTTTTTCTCCACACAAGAGAAATGAAAAATATTTTTTAAAGTACTTATTCTGTTTGAACAAAATCGGCTACAAAACACCCAAGAGGACCCTTAGAAATGAATGAGTGGAATGCGTTTTAATATTGGAAACCTCTGAATAAGCGAGTACCTCAATGATAAAGTATATTATATGTCACAAGATCAAAGATTTATTGAAGTACAAATAGATTTCTAAGCAATTAAACAAAAATAGGTACAGAGAGTGTCTGCAGGCAATCCTAAAGTTTGTAATGCTCTTCGTGAGGGAAAAAAAAGCTTACAAATAGGACTTGACCATGAATTTCTGGCAGCACAAGAGGGTGACCTACAAACTGCAAAACTGTAGTGCTTTCAGCAGAAACCTACTTTAGTAAGGAAACACGAAATACAGACGTCGGCCATGGAATTCCAGCAAGCGTGTCCAGCAGTTCGGGAGAAACTGTCCGGCAGACCCACGCAACTCCATTTAGATCTATTTTGCTGAAAGAAGGAGGGGGGGGGAGATTGCCTCTGACCACTACATTTTCTCTCTATAAAACTGATGCTGTACCCCCACCCCTCACCATCTCCCACCTCCAGGAATAAAACACTTTTTAAGATTGATTTTTTTTTCCTGTTCGTCGTCCAAAACCCTAGTGAGCTGGGGCAGGAGAGGGGGAGAGGGGTGGAGGTGTCCTTTCGACAGCCTGGCACTCTGTGTCACACGTATGTGAATGGGTGTCCCTCAGACCGGGGCTCAGCCCACTCAGCGTTAGGATTTGGAGGGGGCGTCCTCAAAGCTGATGATGCTGGACTCCTGTCCCGAGCCGCTCTGCGCCGCGCTGGCAGCCCCTGCGGACAGGGCCTCTCGCCCCGCGAGGAGAGGCACGTCGGCGCGCCCCTCGTCCTCCTCCTCCTCGTCCTCCATGCTGGGCCAGGCCGACTGGTCCTCCACTTTCTTGAGACGCTCATTCAGGGCCTTCAGGGCCAGCTGTCTGCAAAAATCAAAATATAACCCAAGTCAAGACCCTGTGTCTTTCACTTCCTGCAAATGGCTTTTTCAGCCTTGGACATCTGAGCCCATGAAAAACTGGAACCAGGGAATTTTCAATCGGCAAAGCTCCTCTTTAGACGGTACAGATGATGTGCAGCAGCGAGCAGGGTGGACAGTAGCAGCTCCATTTAAATGTTCTGCCTAAAGCACAGGTTTGCACTTTGCATTCTTGTATTTACAGAACAGGATACTTCCCTTCAAGGGTCTAGTGTCTGTAACATACAAGTCACAGATTTCCTAAGTCAGGATAGCATGCTACATGTTTTGTAAGAAATACCCAGGTAGAGACTGAATTATGCGCAACGTAAGTATAAATGGATTGTGGACTGTATGTCTTAACTCAGAATACTCCACCTTCACTCCCGCACTCGCCCAGTCTGCAGCAGACAGCGGCGTGCAGGTTAGGATTACTGGACTGGTGATGTCAGAGGTAACCCACAGCAGCCCAGCTGGAAACTAACACTTCTCCGCCCAGCGTGGCTCAGTGAGAGAGCACGAGAGGGGCGTCTTTCCTACCTGCGCATCTGCATGTATTTATAGGATTCCGAGGCTCCGGCTTTGTCCCCCCATCGTCTGCAGATCGCCCGACAATATCCCAGCGCGAACCATTCATTAGCAAATGTATCTGTGCTAGAAACAGTATTTTTCTTTCTCCCTAAACAAATGGAACCACTCTAAAAATGTACAAGGAGGGAGGCTTCCATTTTCAGAGGTTTTGTTTTCCGTCCAGACAGTTTCGCAGGGTCACGGGGTTTGAGAGGTTCAAATCCCGTCCTGTGCTCTTCGCTCACGGAAAATAATCGAGCAAAGTGGTAGGTGGGACTTTCAGTAAGACACACGCCTTGCTGCTGTTACTGGGAGGGTGTGCTTTCTGACCGCGCACGACTGCTTCGGACACGACTGCCCCCCAAACTAACGGATCTGTCCGCCGCTGCTGTTGTCCAGAGTGGCTAACATGCGCCCACTTTTACACAGCAGGGCGCTGCTGTACTGGAACGAGCCAGGTGAGGGGCTCTGCTCAAGGGGACAACAGCAGCGTGTCCCACCTGGGAGCTGAACCCGCAACCTCCCAGTCACAAGTCCGGATGCGAATCGTATTGCATTCTCCTCCCCACATGTCCGGATGGCTTCCGGGCTGGGCGCCATCTGAGCTGGATGGTATATCCTGCCACGGATCCGAGAGGGACATTGTGGATACGGCTATTGTTTAGGAGGAATTTACTGGTCTACAGAGATCTGCATGGAGTACTGACACACAGAAGACATGATGGATGGATGGATGAATACCCTCATCGCTTCCTTTTTTTTTAAATGATATAATGTTAGCGTGCCCAAAGGGGTTGGGCAGCCAGTTGACCTTAGACCCCTAGAGGTCCTTACTGACATGGTTTTGGTTCCTCTCCTCCATTGTCTTCTGGTCTTCTGTACTGACAAAATGTATAGTCACTTGCACTGTTAAGTGCCTTGGGGCAACCTTGTTGTGAAGGGCCCTATGAAGAAGGCTCAGCAGCGCCTTTATTTCTTGAGGTGCCTCAAGCGATGGGGGATGCCAATACATGTGTTGGTGAACTTCTACTGCTGCACCATCGAGAGCGTCCTCACCAACGGGATCACCGTGTGGTATGGCAACACCTCTTCGCGAGAAAGAAAGGCACTGCAGAGAATGGTCAATATGGCCCAGAAGATCATCGGCTGCGGTCTCACCGAGATTAAACAGCTCTATGAGGACCGCTGCCGTGGTAGAATTCTGGCCATCACAGAGGACAGTCACCACCCCGGGCATGAGCTCTTCACCCCACTGCCCTCAGGCAAGAGATATAAGAGCATACGGACACTTACCACTAGATTCTTCAATAGCTTCTATCCACAAGCATTGAGATTGGCGAACACATTTAGCCATCCCCCTCGGACCACACCTACACCATCACCATCTACCTCTTTATGATTTCTCATCTATTGCACATCTCCAGTCATTGTTTACACGTCTGTATTGTTTACATTCAAACTGTCTACGTGTTTACTTGCACATTGTCTACTCTTTGCTTGTACATTGTCTTGATGCACTGTTTGCACTTTGTCTTGTGTTTTACACTTGTTTTACAATCGAGAGACTTTCTGTCAGTAAGAATTCCATTGTACCAGTACCGGTTACATATGGCAATAAAGTTCAAGTTCAAGCTATATAAAAATAAACTGAATTGAATTGAATTTTGCATGAGCTTGTACAGCAGCCTCCCCACCAATCCCGCGAGTGTCCGGTGCGTTACTGTGCTCACAGAGGCGTCACCAGCAGCAGGGCGCGGCAGGTTTTTGCACCTACCTCCTCCTCTCGGCGTCCTGGGGGTCGGTGCCCGGAAGGCTGATGGTGATGGAGGAGGGGGCTCCCACGTCGTAGCGCTTCACGGTCTTGCGGCAGACCCTCAGCCTCACCAGCAGGCCGTGCACTACCCCGGCCACCAGCCCCACCGCGGGCTGCAGGATCTCGGGGAAGAAGGAGGCGAAGGCGAAGTGGTCCGACATGTCCCCCCGGCCGCGGCTGTGCTTCTGGTAGAAGCGCAGGTAGACCCAGCCCGACAGGGCGCCGTAGCCGTAGGCCGCCAGGGGCGCCGTCGTCGCCAGCAGCGTGGTGAGCCGCAGCAGGGCCAGGGCCAGCAGGACCAGCGTGGGGGCCACCTTGAGCCGCACCTGGGGCACCCTCAGCACCGTGGAGTCCTCCATCGTCTGCTTCAGGGCCACCAGCACCCCGCCCAGGAAGCCCAGCATGCCGTGGACCCGCACCTCGAACAGGTAGTCCAGGTTGAAGGTGGCGACGTAGGTGAGCAGGTAGGAGAAGCCGGCCAGGAGCCCCACCGAGACGTTGACCACGGCGAAGAAGACGAGCAGCTCCAGCGCCCCCCACAGGGGCTCCAGCAGCCGGCCGGCGGTGACCACCGTCCCCAGGCTGACCGCCACGCCCCAGACGTGCCGCTCCACGACGGGGTGGGTCACCAGAGTCCAGATCCAGAAGTTAGGGGGGAAGAGGTAGCCCGGGGTCACCCCCAGGACGTAGACCGTGTCCACCGCCCAGGACAGGAGGTACAGCAGGAGCACCGTGGCGCAGATGGACTTGACCACCACGCTGGTGCTGGCCAGCGCGGCCAGGAAGTGCTGGCGGGCCACGGGCAGGTAGCGGTTCATCGCCGGCCCCCGAAAAGGTTCCCCCGCGGACGAGGACCCGGAAAAGCTCGGATCTGCCGGATCAGCAGAGGCGGGCGAAGACGAACACGACCGAGGAGCCCGTAGATCGAGGCACCGCGCCGACGGGCAACATCCAGCGTCCAGACAGCAGACGCCCAGGCAGGGAGTGCCCTCCTTAACACCCGTGTCCCTGGGTCCGCTGTGAAAATGCCTCACTGACAGACCTCAGCTCTGGTCCCTGAACACTTGTAAAAATAGCCCAGAGGACGGGCGCAGCTTGTTTACACAAGCAGTGTACAGCGGGGATGTCGACAAGTCTAAGTCCCTTACAGTCCAAGGGCAAGAAAAAAAAAAAGCAATCGTTATGAAGCAATAGGGTTGGGAAAAAAACTCAGGCCCTCGTCTTCCTAGGCCACTGTTCGCGCTCCTCTGATGCTGATCATTACATAACAGAGATGCAGTCTTCACCCCCGGCAATTACCAGATGCCTCCCTTCGTCGCCCGAGCTGTTCCAGTGGCAACTTTTCTTTCCATTTAAGAAAGTCGCTCACGCCACTAGACCTCATTACGCGCCCCGGTGAGGTGGCAGAGCAGCTGAGGGGGTCACGCGTGCACCACCCACAAAAAGCGACCTGAGCCCCCCAAAACAAAACTCCCCCCCCCCCCCGTGCTGGTTCAGAGGTCTCTGAATCGGTGCAGGCGCGAACCGCGACCCCCTGCACGTCCCGTCGTCGGATTTCGACGTCCTGTTAATCTCAAGACAGCGGCGTTACCTCCTGTTTTGTTCACGGTGCGGACTCCCACCCCGCAGCGGGGCTGTGCGCTCTCCGGGCGATCCTTTCCGCCGCCCTCCCTACTGCTCCAGCCCGGCCTCAATCCACAGGCTTGCCCGAGGACTCTCCTGTCTCGACAGGCCCCGCTAATGAAAACGAAAGTGTCATGACCCCTTTAAAACAGCACAGCTAGTGATTGTTTTGCGAAGATCACGGGTTTTATTTCTTTTTTTTTCACTTGATTCGGACTTTCCGGCGCCGCTTAGCTCAGGTATTTCTCGCCGAAATGAAAACTCCCCAGACACTCCCAGTACTACCTGGCCTCTGCCACCGTCACCAACACATCAAGGAGCGTCGAGCGCGCATGCGCTCTGAGGGGCGTTGGGGAAGGCAGAGGCTTATGGGAAACTGAGTTTTTGTTTTTTCCCAGATGCGCTGTAGTAGGTGATGGCAGTGAGCTGGCGTGTGTGGGTGAAACAGAAGTGCTTGTTTTTCTGTTTCATGCACTTGATGTCACCTTTGATCTGTCATGTTGTGACATCTCGTCACAGCCCCCCGTCACGCCCGCTGGTCTGAAGTCTTCGTTAGTGGCTATTAACCTACTCTGGTCTGAAAAACGAAAGCAAATAAGCCTGATTAATTGTAGGTTTGCCCACTTGTCGTTCGAACGTCAATCTCAATTTAATCGGTTTCAGGGAAAACCTGTATAACGCATATATATCATACAATCATTCTTCACCTTAAAGCAAACTAATATCAACACGAAACTGAACCAATTTATATAATATGCCTCTGTGAAAATATGTAAAAAGTATAATTTTAGCTGTTACAATCGTGAATTCCTCTGGCTGTGAAGTGTTCATTTCTGTCTATATTGTAATATCATGGCTGCTTTTTTTTGTATGTCTGGTGTTTAAATAAAAACCTATTTAAAAAAAAGAATTGTTGCATAAACCAGGTTATCGTGTCTGCTGTGCTCTCGCAGGGAGTTGTGGGATATGGGATTTCCTGTACGTTATACAGCCTGACCCCACACAACACAAAATCCGTTGTCAATAACGAGGAAAAAAAAAACGCTGCTAGTGTATGTAATTTTTGAACGTATTGTTTTCAGATTTGTAATCACCTCTGCCTGCGTATTGTTCTGTGCTTTTTGTTCACTTATCTTTTTGGGATTTATTTTCTTCTTTGTACTATTTGATATTCAATAAAAGTTGGGAAAAATCTGTTATTGGAGGACATCGTGTCATTTATACGACGGAGGATGAATTTTTCTTTTGGTTCTCGCAAGCGTGTATTTACTTCTTTGTCGAAGGTGTCGTAGTTCCCGAGACTGAATAATAAATCGTTTACAACTTTTTCATCGTTTTTTATTTTTATTTTTTCCATTGTGTTAGCTGTGAGGCAGTGAACAGGGGCAGACCGGAACCTGCCATATCCCACAATCCCCCCCAGCTCCCCGCGAGAGCGTGGACGGAAGTCGCTGAACCGGAAGACCTAGGTGTCTCGAGTCTTGACGTAAGTTTACAAATAAGACCGAGGCACCTGACGTGCGATATCATTATGTTTAGTAATTGCATAGCGTTTCTATTTACATTGTGTCAAAGCTTGTCGGTATTTCGCTATATTTTAACGTATGGTGTTTAACGAAAACATCGCCAGCTTAATTTCTGAAGGACTGCGTAGTTTTTTTGTTCTCTTTTAACAGCGTTAAGACGCCCACGACAGAGTGTGTAAGTATCATAACGTGCAAATTGCAAGACCATAGGTAGAGCGAGGGGGTTTAATGTCTCATTTAAAATATGTTCGCCACTAGCTTTAATTTTGTGAATAATTGATGTCATTGATATGTTGTTTTATAGTTTTAAAACGCGTTGCCACTAGTGTAATTTCCCCCCTAACTTTTTTTTTTTGCGTGCTCTTGAGTTGATTTGGGGTAATTGTGACATGCACAAAGTTGAATAGCAGTGCATGTCACCAGGAAGTCTCAGCTGTATTTAAGAAACGGGGTTCATTCTACAGTTCTGGCTTGAGCTGTCTTCGGGAGACAGAGCCTGCAACGTCATTTAAGATGAGGGCTGCATAGCAGGCCGTGAACTTTGGCGGTTTGCTCAGCATTCTTCCCAAGTTTAAATGTTAGCAGTGCGCTCTTGTCTTACTTTATTAAGACTCTCACGGCTTCTGCCACGCTTTCCGTGTGGAGGCTTAGTGTTTCACTCCATACTCCGTGACAAGGTGGCCTGAAGACTGATGTCAGACGAGGAAAGGTGTGAAAACCTCCTCACGCTGGGCTTCGGAGTGCACGCTGGCGCCAAGCGGGTTCCCTGAAGCCCTCCCCAGTAACCTGTTCTGAAACGCCTTTCCCAGCAAATTTGCATTTTTTCAGATGGGTTCCATCCGAGCATCAATCGCCTTCGTGTGAGGCAACAGACAACTTCAGACCTCTCTTATCTCGGAGCGCCGCGTGTCCATCCGGCTTCGCCGAAAGAGCGTTTCACTCCTCTCCTTCCCCCATCTCCTCCTCCTCCTCCGTTCTCCAGACGGCACAGGGACGGCGGGGATGAACTTCCTGCGGAACCGGTTGGCGGTTCTGGGCCTGGTGCTGCTGGCCACCCTGCTCCTGTACCTGCTGCTGCCGGCCATCCGCCAGGGCAGCATGGAGCCCTCCCTGGACGTGCAGAAGATGGGCCTCCCCGGCGCCACCCCGGCGCCCGCAGCGCCCAACATCACGGTCCGTTCGGAGCGCCTGCCCGGCGACCCGCCGCTGCACTTCAGGGTGGCGCTGCCTGCCGATGCGGGAGGGACGCGGCCGCAGGGCAGGTGAGTGGGCCGGTAGTGCGAGGCCGGAGAGGAGAGGAGATGCTCTGCTGCGTTCCCCCGGATATCAGCCGCGTCCAGACATCCGGACTGCGGAAGCTGGGAAAAAAAGGCTGACGTGAAAAAAACGGTTCTCCCCGTTTTAGCTAAATAAAGGAAAATGGAGAGGAGTTTAAAAGACCAAATGCAAGTGATGCTTGGATCAAGGCCATGCTTTTGTCCTCTAAAACTCCTCTTGCTTCCCATTTCAAGCTCACAGAGACCTGTTCCTTCCCCCCCTCTCCATCTCCGTCCCCTCCAACCCGCCTTACAGCCTGACAGTTCCCCGTGCTCTTCAGCACCCAGGATCCCCTCCTTCTTGACTGCAAAAGTGTGCTGTGATCTCGTCGCTGAAAATGAATAGGAGTTTTAGTCCCTCCATAGCAGCAGCTCGCTCCGGAACCTGGCAGAAATGTGGTTGTTATGGTACTCGGTGACAGTTCATCACTCTGGAGATAAATATGTCCACAGCCACATTATCTTCCAGTTTTGTTTTTACTTGTATTTGAATGTAGGCCGCAAGCTAATTTGTACTACCCTGAAATTTGGGGCATAAAAAGAGCGGTTTATTTATTTAAAGTGCAGCTTATGTATCCTGGAGTATTATGTGAGGTACACAAGGTATAAGGCGGGCGTTTAATGGGGAGGTAAAGGAGCTGTCTTGCCCTCTTAGAGGCGCTGCTGTTTTTTTTTCCACCCAGTGCAGCTTTTCTGCCTCTTGTCTAGACTGCAGGTTGTTCTGCTGCACGGTCAGTCATTCACCTCCAAGAACTGGTTGGACCTGGGTACCCTGACGCTCCTGGCGACAAACGGCTACCAGGCTGTGGCTCTGGACCTGCCAGGTAAGAGCTCAGCATGTCATTTAGTTTCTCCACTCTGTTGTGCCAGTTTCTGAAAAGTACAGCTGTGGCGCTTGTCAAAGAAAACTCAGTCTTCACTCAGGTTAGGAGATTGTCAACAGAGATCTTTAATTCAGTCAGCTGAAGGGGAGAATATCGCAGAGAAAGGGTTTCCCCTAGCACTCAGTAAGACATGCTCACTGGACTGAAGTTACACTTTCCTTTTTATACATTAAAAGTAGGCAAGACTTTAACATATCAAAGGAACATACAGGGAAAGGGGCAGTGTCAGAAGTCAAACAAACAGTACAGGAAGATGCCATTCGGCATCCTGCAGTCTGTTTCATTTCTCTCTGGTTGAATGGGTGTGAAGAATCACAGGCTTTAGTTTGCACCCAAGGCAGTGGTCTTGGGTGCAAACAGAAAAACCTTTCCCGTGCACAGTCACTGTCTTGACCTTTTGACTCGGTCTTCCACACACTGTTGTAGCTTTTCCTGTCATATATGGAAAAAGGGGGAAAACAAGGTTAACGTTGCAAAAAACATTAGGGAAGAAGATAAATGCTTAAACATATCCATACTACTTGGTTTTTGTTTTTGGAAGAGGTGTTAGCGTGGCCAGTAGGGGGCGCTCACCCTGCAGTCTGTGTGAGTCTTAATGCCCCAGTATAGTGGCTGGGACACTTCAGTGTCAAAAAGGCGCCTTCTTTCAGATGAGACATAAAACTGACGTCTTGACTCTCTGTGGTCATTACAAGATCCCAGTTTCATTTCTCAGATTCCCCTCTTGGCCTGTCCCAGTTATGGCCTCCTCATAAACTGGCTTCATCACTCTGCTTGCCTCTCCACTGAGAGCAGGTGTGTGGGCTGCGGACTGGCGCGCTCTGGCTGCCGTCACATCATCCAGGTGGGGCTGCACGCTGGTGGGGGCGGAGGGGATCCCCGTTACCTGTAAAGCGCTCCGAGTGGAGTGTCCAGAGAAAGCGCAAGACAAGCGTGAGGAATTATTATTCTGTTCAGGCTCAGGCAGCGCTGCTCCTGTGTCTCGAGATGTGGAGGGAGCGCAGTCTCACGGTCTGCAATGGGAAACCCCCTCCCGGATAAGTGCGCGGTCTTTCCCCTGGCAGGCTTTGGTAGCTCTCCGGACTCCGATGCCATAAAGACGGATCAGAACCGGGCGGACCTGCTGCTTCGCTTCCTGGACTCCTTGGGCCTGAAGGCCCCCGTTGTGGTCAGTCCCTCCATGAGCGGCCGATACTCGCTCCCCTTCCTGATGCTGCACAGCTCACGGATCAAGGGCTTCGTCCCCATTGCACCTGTGGACACCAAGAGTCACACTGCAGAGCAGTATCAGAGCATCCAGGTATTGCCAAGGGGTTCCCACGCATGTCTTTCGGCTGTAAATCTATACAGAAATTAAAATATGTTCAATGTTGGTTTGGGCACTGAGAGTAGGATGAGCAATTTGTGTGGCAAAGCAGGGAATTGAAACTGGGGTTATGTAGTAGTAGTTGCGAGTTGTGGACACTAGGTGGCGCACGAGAGCTAATGTTTGAGCGGCAGAAGGTTGATTAATCCGTGTTTCGCAGCTTCTTTAAAAATTCCGCGCAGGAACACCACTGATTTCACAGGAGTTGTGGGATTTAAAGTTGGCGAGATTTTCAGCACTCAAGTCCATGATGCCATCGGGCGTTAAACCTGTTTGGCGGATTTCAGAATGCTTTACAGTGCAATACTGTGAAGCTGACTACTCAGTCCTTTACGATGACTTTTCAGGGCTGTGCAAGAAAAGTCAAGAACAAGAGTAGCGATTTGGATTCTTGCTTGGATATTGCGGAGTTTTGATAACAGAGAGTTTAGAGTTAAGTTCGACACAATTTGAATTTTCAGCTTTATCTGTATCTCTGTGACTTTCCGTTAACTAGCTTTCAGCCCGATAATGTGCGTTGCATTAAACGTTCGCCACTTGCAATTCCGTAATCTTCCGTAACTTCATCAGGAAGTCTGTCTTTTACTCAATTAGTAAATTAGTCATTAGTCAGGGTCGTCTTTTTCTGAATCCATGTTGCATCAGCCCTTGAATGATACTGGCACGCATTAAGTTGAGTTCTAATGAGCATTTCCATAACGTTAGATGCAATAGGAGGAAGAGTTATCGAGGCAGAGTAGCTGGGCTTGTTTTTAAGAGACGGGTGCTGCGATGTCCAAATCGGGCATCTTCCGGTCAATCGGCACCACCTCCGTCCAGGAGCGGAAAACCCGCACTGACTCTCCTTTCTGTCTTTGCCCCCCCCTCCCAAACCAGACCCCGACTCTGATAGTGTATGGAGAGCAGGACAACGGCCTGGGAGCCCAGTCCTTGAAGAGCCTGAGGCAGCTGCCCCATCACTCCGTGGTGCAGCTGGCCGGGGCACGACACGCCTGCTACCTGGACCGGCCCAAGGAGTTCCACCAGGCGCTGCTGGACTTCCTGAGCAAGCTGGAGTGAGGGAGGGGTCTTGGACGAGCGGGCCTGACTGAGTGGATGGAAGGGGGGAGGGGGGGGTGGTGCTCTTTCTCTCCAGGTCACTAGAGGCTGCAGGAGCAGCACTGGCACACAAAGATAGAAGTGGGAATCGAGGGATGTGAGGATGTACCCCGTTTTAGGAGCGAGACAATCGGAGATCCACACCTAGATGCTCGTGTAAAACGCCCTCTGTGTTGTGTGGGGTTGGGAGTGGGTCGCAGCAGGTCATTTGGGAAAGCAGAAATCTTAATAAAACAACTCAGGGGCAGTTCTGCTCATTCACTCAGATGTAACAACAGCATGATGGGCTTCATTTTATAGCATCGCCACTCTCCACTGTCTTAACACAACATGATTTCCTGCATTTTCTGCTACGTTTGTGTAGGCATTATCTGAGTTTTATAGTTGTTTTGTTATTAATTTCAAAGGTTGCTGTAATTTTTTTTTTTCGGTATTGAAAAATACTTTTAGTAAAACAAACTTTGGAAGCTTTGAATTCAAATTAAAACAAGCTTTCTTGGACTTAAAAATAAGCAAATAACCAAACAAGCCCTCCCTCATGATGCTTGTAAATTGTTTTTTTTTTCTGTGTGCAACTAAAGTACCACTTGTCACTGTAACCACTACCTAATTTATTTTCCCTAAAGGGCCAGGCTTTGTTTTGGCATTTAATAGGTGAGGCAGTGCTGTATTTTAATTCAGTGTTAAACAACTGTCCAGCAATAATCACTCTGCCCGTGTTTCAGCTGCTGTAGCCTGTACAGTAGAGCAGAAGATTTATTTCATGCTGAAGTTATGCTGTATTTTTGTTTAAATATCTCTTTTGAGTCCGTTGTACTTAATGCTGCAGTTATAAGCTTGCATTTCATCTTTTTGTGTGTGTAGCATTGATACAGTGTTATTTAAAGAATAAACGCCATTAAATTAAACACTGTCGAATTTCTATTTAAAAAATGCAAGACTGCTTAAGTAAACGAGAAAATAAATTCCCTGTGGAACAGAGGGAAAATGGAGTTTAACTGAGCTGAAAGGCAGACTTTGCTAATAAGCAATGACATGTTTGATACTTTTAGTGCTCATTTGTTAAATGATTGCTGGGCTGTATATATAACTGCTATAAAGAAATTGATTATTAACAAGTTGCAGATTTGTATTTTATGTACTTTGGTCAGTTCTTCTGTGCAGGCTGTGGCAAGCCAGGTTTCTGAATAATAATTTTTACCACTCATATGAATCCTTTATCTAACCAGACAACTCAGTCCAAAGCAGATCCTCTTTCACGATGACCTGTTCGTTCGCCATCAGTTGATCAGCTGACGCCCAGTCTGCTGGGGGGTCCAAAGTCGGGTGTTTATGATACTCAGGACCGATCAAAGAAAACAAGCGAAACAGAAGCCCGAACCAGCAACCGGATGAGTAGCACTGCGCAGATGTGTAGATCTGCAGTGTGTTTTGAATCCATCTCTGTCAATGGGGAGTTCGTAGGGTTCAGTTACAGTTCAGTTAAATCGGCACCTCGCCTGTGCTGCGATGGGCTGGTGTCCCGCCCAGCGTGTACTTTGCCTTTTCCTCCCCCCCCTTCCTTGCCGGGCTAAACTTGGGCTCACCGCGTTTCTCCGAGCACAAAGCGGTCGGAGAAAACAGACGGTCTAGCAAGTTCCCTTCCTAAGAGGCTGGACAGCAAATCGGGATTGAAGAGCAGTCGATCCGATCCGTAACTCCGCGCTCGGCCGGCTGCCCTGGCTGTGTAGTGCCTGCAGCGCTCGGACTGTGACAGTGTTGTTACCAGCCCGGATAAGTAAATCCGTCCGAACTTTTGGTATTGGAAAAGCCCGAAAAGCAAGGTAAAGCCCCCCCGTTTCTATATTTGCGGTGCCGGTAAACTACGCTGCAACTTTCATTGGCTGTAGTTTCACGTATTGCTAAGCGACTGCAAGTGCTTCTTTAGACCCTTTCAAATAGAAGGAAAAAACATGGAGTGACAGGTCAATACTTTCTTCGTCTGGTTCTTTGAAAATGCACACTCCTGGCGGATGAACGGGTTAACGCCACCTTGAACGAGCCTCTTTAAAGACCCTTTCGCTGACGTGCTTGTGCTGTTTTATTTTATTTATGGCACCTTGTTTAAAAGAACCGCTAGTTTGCATAAAAGTAGAGATTTGTTTGCTTGCGCCGTCGTTTTTCTGCTTCATGAAAAAGCAAAAAAAAAAAAAAAAGCCTTAGCTAGAGATGCTAATCTTTTGTCCCGACCGGTTTTTTGGCTTCAGGGCTTCCCGGTTGCCAGATGTGTTTGTCAACACGCATTAAAGTGGCCCCGCGTCTTCGCCGGCCAGGTTGTCCTTGCGCTGTGTGCGGAAATCGAGAAATAGATGCGGTGTATTTAACGTCGTTAAATATGGACCTGGACACTTTCTGTTCTGTGCTTTGCTGGGGACACATCGCGTCCCCCTGCAGCTGTCGAGGAGCTTTCCAGAGGCCGATCCATCACGCGTGTTTGCCCCTACTTTCTTCTCTTGCCTTACAGTTTCTTGGTAATATCATCTTTTTTTCGGAATACCCGCGTCTCTCTCTCTCTGTGTGTGTGTGTGTGTGTGTGTTTCCGAGCGCTTTGTTTCGGTAAACTGGTGTCTGTCACTGATCTGCTAGCTGGGTGTCACCTTTTGCTTCCTGCTCGGTTTTCTCCTTGGGTCCCAAAGTACCCCGACAGGTTTATAATTAGCTGAAGTCCGTGATTTCAAACGGCTCCACCACACTCAACCACCTCTCCTCGGGCTTGAAGAGGCTTAGAATTTGCCCTCTTACCCCTGACTGGGCAGCTCTCGATCGGTGGTCAGCTGATGAGGGAGGATCTCCAAACTCCCACCGGGCGTTTTTAACGGGACTCTCCTCCGTGACCACACTTGACCTGTCCCTGCGGCACCGTCTCGTCGAGCGCAGCGTAAGCCGGGCGTGGGCAGAGCTGGCCGGGGTGGGGTGACAGCGAATAAGGGACTGACTGCTCGGGGTCGCCCCCACAGCCGCCATGCTGCCGGATAAGGACGGGACCCGCGGGGAGCTGGGGTGCGGGAGTGGGGCGACCTGCCGGGGCCACTCCGAGGACACCGCTGTCTCTCTCTTCCGGGAGTACCTGCGCATCAGGACCGTCCACCCGGAGCCGGATTACGGTGAGTCTGGGGCACCTCACCCATCTCATCTCCCCCCCTGCGTGGGACGAGCCCTGCGTCCGTGGGCAACTGCCGGAAAAATATAGGGGGGCGCCCTCTTCATCTGGGGGTCTTTTGGGAGACGGAAGATTGAATAGATTTCATATCACTGCCGCCGAAAAGCGAGGAAACGAGGAAACAGACAAAATGTGTCTTTGGCATCTGCTCTGGGGGTTTAGTTCCAGGGTGATGTCAAACTGGGTTTTTAAGGACAGGGGAGCTCCCTCTCAACATCCGCGCCGATGCTGAGTGAAAGGCACGTCATCACCACTGGGCAGACCAACTAGAATACCAGCCTTCTAGTGAAAGAGAACAGCGTAGTTGCAGGGCTGGCTGGTTGTAGATTTACATTTCCAAACACCCATGAAAAACATTGTTCAGGAGTGCATGTGGGGTTTTCATTCACCTTAATGGGAAAAAAAAGCTAATGATTTGCCTATGTGGAACAGAAGTCTTCACACCTGTTGACGATTTCAAGAGACCTGGAAAACCTGGGTCCTGACTCCAGTGGACCGGATTTGTGCACCTATATTCCAAACTTGGGGTTTCTCGTCCCCGGCTCCTGCCAATCATCATCATGGCAGAGCTCATGGTCACCGTCAGCGAACGAATTGATGTAATTCGGGAACTCAAGCTCTTTGATTTAACTTTTGTGTTTTATATGTACAGTACCTTAAGATTTCTGCACCTTAAGGTGCAAAGGCTACAGTCAACAAATTAGCCTGTTTGTGGATTCAGTTAGAGCTCAGCTAGAACAAAGACACCAGTGAATATTGTGGTTTTCCTGAAAAAATAAATAAATTAAGTAGTAAAAGAATAAGAAGTTTTGATCTAGGTTTCTGTTTTTTTATATATATCTGGTTCAGCCTAGAGAGAGTTAAATTTAGTTCACAATTTGTTCCTCGTTTATTCAGACATGTGGTTGAGCTTTGACCCATGTGTTGGGAGAAGATTTAACTCATAACCGAGTCTGTCTGTATGAGTTTAGAGTCCCTGAGCTTTGCTCTGAAACTAGTGTAATGTGCTTACAGTTTACAGTGGAAAAGATGGTCAATGATTAGGGAGAAAGGTAACACAGCTTGTGTTAAACAAGCCTGATCATTAAACCTACGGGAGAAAGGATTAACAGTCCTATCATGGGAGGAGAAAAAATAGAAATTTTAGATATACAGTGTATGTGATCAGTAAGATTAAAATATTTTTTTAAATAAAGGATGTCTAACCTTGTGTATCCAGAATTAATTTTCTGAATGTCTAAAGAGCAGTAGAGATTTGAAAGATGTTGGCAGGAAAAGTTACAAGTTCAAAACACTGTTTGCATTACTGATCAATAGTGTTTATTCCCTCTTGTTGCTTACAATATTGCAATATGTCCATGCTGTGCCTTCAGTCTACATGGAGACGGGAGTATCAAGGTGCTAAATCACAGCTCTTCCCTGCTGTCTTGCAGATATTCTGCTGCATCGGATGCATTTGTTTTGAAGGAACACCCCATTTAAGTGAACATGGATGGTGTTTCAGAATGTAGTGGCGTGTCTCAACAGGTGGCTTGAAAATGTTGCGGAGCTGGGCGGGATCGCATGGGTTATTTCAAATATTTGTTTAGTTGCATAAATTGTTTTAAAGCCAGGCAACCACCACCACCACAGAAATATGCGTTCAGCTCCTGTCCTTGAGCCTGTAAAATACAAAAGTAGCTCCTGCACATGACATAGGCTTCGCACATAAGAACAGGAGCATCAATAAATAAGATATAAATAAGCATTAATATGAATTCCAATGTACATGTACATATGGGAATAAACTCCTCTACTCTACATGCAGTCTGGAGCCCCTTTCAAGGAGACAGTTGCTTATAAGATCAGATCACTATATTGGCCATATACAATTTCTTGCTTGATGAATTTGTCTTTTCGCAGACCCCAACTTGCTCTCCATGAGACACACAGACAGGGAGAGAGAAGCTGGGGGTCAGAGCGCAGGGTCGGCCATTTATACGGCGCCCCCGGAGCAGCTGGGGTGAAGGGCCTCGCTCAGGGGCCCAGCAGAGTAGGATTCCTCTGCCGGTCGCGGATTACGAGCCGGCAACCTCCCAGCCACAGGCGCAGAGCGGAGCAATACTAGGAAAGGGCTGGTGTTCCTTCAGTGGCTGAGCTCCTGATGTATTTTGGGACGTCTGCGTGTCCCTTGTTCCTCTGCTTGTTTGTTTCCAGACGCGGCTCTGAAGTTCCTAGATCGGGTTGCTGGGGAGCTGGAGCTGCCAATGAGGACAGTGGAGGTAGGGGGCTGTTCCTCGCTGCTGTGTCCTGTCATGAGGTGCAGCACAGCCAGTTCCACACTGCTGTTAGATTCCGTCGCACACCTACAAGAACTCCTCCTCTCTTTAGAAACTGGTCTACAGGAAGTCCTCAGGGACGATATTGACACAGATTCCTAGGAAGCAGGACTGGAGAATTTCCCAGTGTGCACCTGCCTTCGTACAGTCCCTTCTACCGTATCTGGTGGCTGCAGGACACTCACGTTTTCCGTGAGACGGTTTTGTGCCATGAACCCTCCAGGCTGAATCAGTGAACACAAACCCCTCTGTGGGTGTTCCTCTCAGTCTGTAGTTTTCTCATCACTGCCATGTGGGAAAAAAACAAAAACAATCGGAATGAGTGATTCTTGTGTTAATATTTTCCTTATCTTAGGAATTGGGGAGATCCTCCCTCGCACATCTGATTGTGTTTCTCAAGCGCCATCGTCCGTGTTGTTCCTCAGGTGTGTCCTAACCGGATTGTGGCCATCGTCACGTGGGAGGGCACCGACCCCAGGCTCAGATCCGTGCTGCTGAACTCCCACACGGACGTGGTGCCCGTCTTCCAGGTCAGGGGGGGCCTCCGAGCCCGGCACACTCGCGGGAAGTGCTCCAAGCTCTTTTTCGGAGTTCCCGTGGAAAGCCTCTTTCTCGTTTTCCGAAATGAACACAGGCAGTCAGACGCAGCTTTGAAACTCACAGCCTTGTCGGACGGGGCAAAGAGAGTTTAGGCTTCTTTTTTTCCAGCTTGGAATAAAATCGAAGGGCGCTCCGAGTTATGGAGGAATCCGAGCTGAGCTCTGCTCGGTGTAGGGAGATAAAGTGCAGTTTTGGCCGTTAGGTTTGATAAATCAAGCACGCTGGCAGAAGAAGCAGAGCAGGAAATCTGACTTTCTTCTTGTTTAAGCCTCCCAGTCTGGAGGGGAGGGGACAGCTGGGTGAGAAGGAGATGTGGCCTGGCTCGGCCTCAGACTCAGACGCTCTTTCTCCCCTCTGGTGCCCTGCAGGAGCAGTGGAAATACGACGCATTCGCCGCCGTCAAGGACAAGGAAGGGAACATCTTTGCCAGGGGGGCTCAGGACATGAAGTGCGTCACCATCCAGTGAGTGCCAGGCCCGCTCGGGGGTTCTGTCGGGTCGGCCAGAGAGCTGCGGAGCTCCCTTACGGTTTTCTGCAGTTGTAACGTAGTCACGTTAGCTGAAATCGAGAACACAGAAAACGTCTTCGCATTTCGACACTTACCAACATTGAGGCGGAGCGGTGCCTCTGTGGCTCAGGATCTGCGCCTGTGGCCGGGAGGTTGGCGGTTCAAATCCCGCAGCCGGCAGAGGAATCCTACTCCGTTGGGCCCCTGAGCAAGGCCCTTAACCCCAACTGCTCCAGGGGTGCCGTATAAATGGCTGACCCTGTGCTCTGACCCCCAGCTTCTCTCTCCCTGTCTGTGTGGATTTCAACCCGCAATTAAAGTAAAATGTACTCAGTCATGTGTAAACCCCCCAGTTTCCATAAAAAAATAGGTGTGGTGGATTCTGGGATTCAGAACGAGGCAACAAAATGTTCGGCTACGTGATGCAGCCTTGTTACACTGTAAACAAGCAGGCTTGTGAATACATCTCTTTTAATCCAATAGAAATGTTATTCTCGACTTCAAGATGATTTTGCTGATAAATACTGCTTAGTTGTTAACTCTGCCTGCAGATCACGTTGGAACATTTCTGCTGTGAAATGTCTGCTGCACAACCTGTACTTATTCGCCTGTGATATATCGCATTGCATTAGACATTACGGAGACTTGTGAGCAGGAGGGGCCACATCACATCACAATTCCTGGGAGCTCTCGCCAGATCAGGGGTAATAAGTGGTCTGAGACGTTGGAACTGCATTTCCCCTTTTAGGAAGTCCACTGGCTAAGTTGAGGCTAGGTGCTTGAGATTAAACATAAAAGCTTGGCAAGAATGCCAGCATACCCAACACACACAGATGATGGGTTTTTAATTAATCGCATCTGAGGCTCTTTAAGCGACCCTCAAGAGGAGGTGCTTTGGAGCAGCTCTTGCAGAACCCGCAGTGCAGCCCTCACGGATGTGAACTGTGGATGTGAAGTGGCCAAGGCTGTACCAAGAGAACTGGCTGACGGTTACTAAATCGGCCGTGAATCGGGGCCCAACAAGCTGTCCAGAGTCAGACGAGTGTGTGTGTGTGTGTGGTTTTTCCAGGTACATCGAAGCGATCCGAAGGCTGAAATCGGAAGGGAGGAGACTTGCTCGCACTGTGCACTTGATGTTTGTTCCAGGTGAAACTCGATCAGTAGTCCTGAAGCTTTTTTTTATTTTCAATCCAGACCTTTATGCAGAGGGGCGTTGGTCTTAAAGTAAAAACCAACGTAAGATGCTTCCCTTTAATCTAGCACAGCACTTGTTATTAAGGGGAGGCGCGGATGGCTTCATTGTTAAATAAGGTCTTAGTCTTATAAGAGTTTAATGGGAGTTTTAAACCCTTTATGGCCTGTCGGGACTTGAAAGCCCCACCTGCAGAAAGAGTCTGCAGAGTCAAGATGGACAGAGTCAGTCTCCTAAAGGGACAGCTGTGCAACTGTGCACCATTTAAAAACAACTGAATCTCGACCGCATTCAAAGTGTGCACTCTAAAATGTTCTCCTTTGAAAGAGCTGCTTTCCTGAGTTCCACAAATTAATATATTAGTTTAAATAATAAACATAAATAAAATGTTTTTTTCTCATCGAAATCTTGACCCATTTGTTTGCAGCTGAATCTTTGTATTACAAATGTGTCCTACTTACTTTATGAATCTAATAGAACGTTGTTTGCAAACCTTGTGTTAAAAAAACATCTGACAACCTGATAACATCAGCATCTTCAACGTGGGTTCATTCAGCATACAGTAGGTGCGCATACACCAATCTGGACGTCTGTAGACACTTCTCATTGCCTGTAAATATAGTCGTACAACTATAAGGAAGCATGCCTATATTGTTTCTTCCTTACACAAATAAAAATTCAGGCCATAAAGGGTTTTAAACTACTCAGAATGCGAGTGGTACTACCACCATTTCAACTACTCCACTGATACTAGTACTTCTTTACCACTAATGCTAGTGCAGTTGCTACAATTACTGCTACTAATACTACTAAGGCTGTTATAACACTAGCTGTTGCTACTAATACCACTACCACCAATATTGGTGTTGCTAGTATTGAAGGTGTTCTGTCCAGCACGTTTTGTTTGTGTGATTCCTCCTCATCTGTGCTTTTAGACGAAGAGGTCGGGGGGCACAAGGGAATGGAGGCGTTCGTGAATCACCCAGAGTTCCGTGCTCTGAACGTTGGCTTTGCGCTGGATGAAGGTAACTGAGATCGGTCTCTTCGTGATGCGCGGGGGAAAAAAAAACTGCTGTGCGCAATAGAAATCGACCTATTGACTGCGGCGTGTGGAAATGGATTTAGCGTCAGTCACGCTGACGATGGAAAGAACTTCATCTGCTTTGCGGGAATTTTGCGTATTGATATTGATACGATAAAATAAGGACTCAAAAACATAAGAAAGGCTACAGGCAAGAGGAGGCCATTCTGCCCACATACCTACAGTATCTGGCAGTAGCTAACAGGTCTGAGGATCTCTTCCAGCTGTTTCTTGAAAGAAACCGGCGTATCGGCTTCGAGGGCATGGCTGAGTAGCTCGTTCCACACTCCCACAGGCCTCCTGTTCTCTGTTTTAAATGCAGTGTCCACTTGTGCCTTCTGACACCATAAAAGCCTGATGCAGTTTTTGGCTCTCTGTAGGTCTGGCTAATCCCGAGGAAACGTTCACCGTGTTTTATGGCGAGAGAAACCCGTGGTGTAAGTATCTTCTGCTGTATGTCCGCTCTAGAACAGGAGCCCGTTGCACATTGGATGCACCAGCAGTGCCTGCTTTTCCGAATGTTTGGCTGCTCGCGTCGAGCACGCCGACGGAGGTGGCGCTTAGTCCGCGGCGGCTTAGGCCTCTCGGTGCGCGGACGCTGGGAGAGACGGGAGCTCAGGTGGCCCCCCCATGGGTCAGGACGGCATGGATGGCGTCCTGAAGCACGATCCCGCAGCAGATCCGAATTCGGCTCGCGGTGCTTCTCTGGGCAATGCCTGTGATTTCGATAGGTTCGTTTTATAACCAGGAACATGACTGCGTTGTGAAATACATTGCAACACAGCAGGAATGGATCGTTCTGGCCTTGTTATAAGTAAGAGAACGTCATCGGCATAAAGGGAGATTTTGTGTTCCTCTTCCCCCACCAAGACACCAGAGACAGCAGTGTTCATCCTTATATTATATATAATATATATATTAGGAATTTTTCCCCAAATGCGAATATTAGATCCTTATCCACCTTCTATTTCGTGGAGGAGGGATTTATGTATCTTGGCATCTTTATTGCTCCAAATCTGTGTAATCTTGTTGGTAAAAACTACATCCCTCTCAGCAAAAATGCTTCTCTGTGTTTCAGGGCCTCACATTAGGTGGAGCTAAAGGCTTTGCTTTTTCTTTTTTTAAAAAAAAGAGCTGTTGCTCGTCAAAGGAATTCCGACTCTCAGCGTATTTTGCAGGGATCACCATAAAGTGCACAGGGAGCCCAGGACACGGCTCCAGATTTGTGGAGAACACGGCTGCTGAGAAGCTGGTAAGGGCACATGGCAAACTGGGGAGGAAGTACGAAGCGTTATGAGTGAGAGACTGTCGCCCACTGATTCGCAGAGCCCACCCAGCCCTTAGCTGGGGCAGCCCAGGGTGTCTTGTTCACTCATCAACGAGTCACCTGAGCCCTGAGCATGTCTGGTCCATCCATCGCCTCCATCACTGGCTTGTCAGAACTGATCGCAGGAGCTCAAGCTCTCAAATAATTAACATTAAAAGCAGCAGAGATGGGAAGTGTTGATCATGTAGTTCAGGCGGGGAGCTGCGTCAGCAGGCACAGGCTGCAACGGGACAAGTAACAGGTTTGTTCCCTGCTGAAAAGAGAAGAAAGGAGACGCAACGTTTCGGCTGTGGGTCCTTCCTCAGGCGTGCACCCAAAGAAGCCTCCACAGCCGAAGTATTGATAATGCATAACAACATCGATCGCTTAATCGTTTTATTGGTTTTTATTGACTGTTTTATTGTCGGTTTGCTCTGGGGGTAATGAATCGATTTGACAGAGGTTTAGTGGTGAATGCTCCCGCTCTTGGGATTGCTGCTATTCTGCCTCTCAGTGAGGTTTGTTGTCTGGAGCCCAGTGTGCCAGTTTCCCACAATACTTTGTATGGAGAAGTGCTTCCTGTTTTCAGTTTTGCAGTTTTAAATGCACTCCGTTTCACAAGTGTTGAAACCCGAAGTTCATTGCCACCAAATTGCTCTGACAGAACTCTCCGCCGACTTTATACCAGGATCTTTTTTTTTTTTCCTTCACAGCGCAAAATCATCAACTCATTCCTGGACTTCAGGGAGCGAGAGAAAAATCGGTAAGATCCCGACTCGGTTCTCTGGCGGCACAACACTGCAGACACTCACTCTCGTAGGAAGCGAGTCATTTCACTGGGCTGAGGAGGTGTGACATCACTTTAAACTTCAGTCTCAGGGACATCCAGAGGAGTGATCCTTTCAAGATATAAAACCAATGAAGCACAACAAAATGCACATCAATTTACACCCATCAAACATTACTGTCAAACCCCTGACTTAACAATGATCTCACCCCAGTGCAAGATGGCAGCATGTTCAACAGTACTGGAAACATCCTAAATTAAACCGTTAGCACCCCAAAATCTTATTACACATCCGTACAGCTGGCTTGTGCTCTTCTAAAATAAACTCCAGGGCTGTGAAGATAAGAGCCAGACATCTGACCTCAGATTCTTTGAAATGAAACAAATAAATCACATTCACTTTGGATGTCGTCTCTTGCACTTTTTCTGAAAAACGGTGACTGACAACATAATGAGAAAAGCGTGTGAGATAAGGTGGGCTACGATCATATATTTTAAGCCCCGTGCCACCGGTGATCAATTGAATCGACCTTAAAACTCGACTAGGCAGGTAAGCAACAATCGGGAATGATTCTCTCGTGAGTCTAGAGCCAGGGTCTGTGCTGTTTTTTTTCCCCTGCCCTGTTATCTCGCTAGTGGAAGCCACTCTTTCCCAGACGAGCCCTTCTCTCTGCTGCCTCTGTAACCCGCCTCAGCCCCTGACAATCCATTTGTAGCACTGGAGTTACAAACACACTATTGTCTCCTGTCGAGTACATTCGTTCCTCCCAGCTGGTGCGCTCCAGGACCAGGCTGTGCCCTGCACGTCTGCACAGAGATGTCCCTTGTCCCTTTTCACTTCTGTTCCAGTTTTTTTTTTTTAAGGCACCAGAAAAAGATCAATTTCTCTGGAGTTTTCTGAGGTTTGGATTGTCCTCTGTGGTATGGCAGTCCGATCAGTGTGTCACCTTCCTTGGTTCAAAAGAGTTACCTGGAAATTAAGGGGAACAGGAATCTGTTAGCTCTTGCAGAATGTTGATGTATTCTTTTTCTGATTAATTTCATTCTTAATGGAATTTCCTGCTTTTATTCTTCCTGTGTTCTTCAAGGTATGGCTGCCATTTTTAAGTTTTGGAATCATTTTGCATATCAGTAATTATCCTTAAACGTATGTACACTTTTAGATATATTTCCTTATCTCGTTGACTGGAGGGTATTCATTAATGCCTGTCTAGGGTGTTAATTTTGACAAAATCGATGATTTCTTAATTCATGGTGAAACAAGGATCTATAGATTCCTGCTCCCTTAAGTGCACTGTGTTCACGCACAATTCGAGCTGCTTCAAAAACGAAGCTTTTCCGGGGGTTGCTCACAGAAGCCTGTTTGTGCGCCTGCCGCTCTGCGCTGAGACTGACCCGGTCTGTTTCAGGCTGAACACCAGCGAGTGCCTCACGCTGGGGGACGTCACCACCGTCAACATGACCAAGCTGCAGGGGGGCGTGGCCTACAACGTCATTCCCGCAGAAATGGACGTCAGCTTCGACATCCGGATCCCACCCACGGCCGACCTCCAGGTACGGAGCAGGGGGAGAAGGTGGGATGCATTGATGGGGCCTAGGGTACACTGACTGAATCCCGTTCCTTTACTCGCATCTTCTGAAACTCATTTTTTTAATGCACTGCTGCATTTATTCAGTTTTGCACATAGAGTACTGAGCAATTGAACCAGTCGGCAGTCCAGCACCCACACTTTCAGTTGCGCAGGTTATAGTGGGGCAGTTCTGTTGTGCGATCCGTCTGGAGAGCAGAATCCGCTCCACACGTGTACGTGACTAAGACATGCAGTTCTGCTGCCATCTAGTGGACAGAGAAAGAAACTTCACATGAGACTGATCAGAGTGGTGGTCTGCTGTTGAAGCAATTGAATCCCCTTTGCATCCTGCAACTAAATTTTACCACGTACAAATCATTTTTAATTTTAGTACAAGAAAATGTAAAACAGGCTCTGTTGTATGGTGCAAAATGTACTTGTTGTGATTACTGGGGATTTATGGAGGGTTTTACCAAGGAATTAAATATTCTCAGTTTAAAACATTAGCTTTAATGAAGGGCTCACTGGTTTACTGTGAGCTACAAGTGTGGAAGTAGTTTCACATGCATCTGTGACAAATTTTAAGCATGTAATTAAATGAAACTGGTACTTAAGTACTGGTGCTTTCAGGTATTTATCTGGATCCTCCTAGAGGGGAAGTTACTAATTAAATATTAAGGTTTACTTGAGGGATTTGTACCCTACAGATTGCTGTCCGCGTGATTAGTGCACAGCTCATGTCCCTATAAGACAGGCCTGTCAAGACATCTCTCGCTTCCCTGCGCAGATAAAAGCACTCCAATGTGGAAAAGGCACTGTAGGCTGAAGCAGGGTGCAGCAGGGGAGCTTCGGGACTGAGAAATCGGCATGTCTCTCGGCGCCGTGCTTGTAGCTCAGGCACAGTGAAATGAGCAGCAGCCAGCAGAGTCCTGTGTGATTCACTGGGAAACCACAGACACTGTAAAGGAACTGGGAGCCCCCCCTGCTTAAAAAGAAAAGACGAAAAATGCAAGACCGAGACTTAGTTAATATTTTTATTACTACTACTACTTTATTTATTATATAGCGCCTTCAAAAGTATGTTTCAAAAGCATTTTTACAGGGCAAGTAAAAAACATGGATAAAAAAAGGAAGAAAAATACGAGATGGCAAAACTAGAACAAAGAGCACAAGGGAATAGACATGAGGCAAGGAGCCTCAGACCCCAGTTACATGAACTCCTTTCTGAGGAAGGAAGGAATTACATGAATGAAATGATGGTCGAACTTCCCCTGAGCCAAGCAGGGACCTTATTCCACAAAACAGCCTTTAGAGTTTCAAGCAAGATTCGAAATGGTGTGTGCAAATTGATCTCGGGTTTCATCCTTCTGGACTCGATCTTCCTCGGTGCGTCATTTAGAAATGGGTGTCGGTGTATAACTAGGGTTAGGCGTGCCAGAAGACTGCGGCTGTGCCCGTATTGTGTTGTTCGCACTCCGGCACGAATCACCACGATACTTCGCAGCCAAGCGAAGCCATTGAGTGAGGGCCACATATTCAGCGGCCCTCCCCCCTTCTCTGCCTGGCAGGAATTTGAGGAGCAGATCAAGGAGTGGTGCCGGGTGGCGGGAGATGGCATCACGTACCAGTTTGCCCAGGTAAGGCCCTTACCGACCTGAGCTCCTGCTAGACTCGCAGGGACGGGACTAGAGGCAGGAGATGGGTTCACCTGCTAAAATACCCTATTATTTTAACTCACACGTGCTCTCTGCTTGTGTTGGCTTAGACTTCACAGGAGTTATCTGTAGTCTGTGAGAACAGCTCACCTGGCTGAGGTTTATTACACCTGGTCTGTAATAAACACTCACCGGAAGCATTATGAAAAAAGGACAACATAAGTTCTTGAGAGATTGGAAGGCCAGAGGCCATACGGATAATCTTGGGTCTAAACCGGCTGTGTATTTATACTTTTGAGGCATGTTGCTCTTTTGTAATAGTCTTAATAGTGAAAGTCATGTCCTGGAGGGCTGCTGTTTAACTCTGAATCGGATCGGTATTGATGACATGGAGCAGTGTAACAGCTCTCCTCCAGCTCTTCATGTGCGAGTGCTTCAGAGAGACCGAGAGAGCCTACAGATACAAAGTCTCTCAGCTCTGCCCAGGATCACACACCTCTGTTGGGGACTGGCCCCAATCAGAGAGCCCCCTTTCCTGGTTCTTACCCTGCTTTCTCCCCGATCAGAAACACATGCAGCAGGACGTGACATCGACGGCAGAGAGCGACCCCTGGTGGAAAGCCTTCACTGCGGCCTGCGGCGCCATGTGAGTGTGGTCTTCTGAAAGCCCGTGGCGGGGCTGTCGGACAGAGCTCTCCCACGCAGCCCTGGGCTGGTGGATCTCACGGACGTGGCTCGGCAGAGGCCAGACCCTGATAATAAACGAAAAAGAGCAATTGAATGCAGTTAAATCCAGCATGGTGTTTGCAGGCAGGACCTTATTTACAAATACGGAAATGACTGCAATGCAGAGCATGAAAAAAAATTGGATTGTTTTTTTTGGCACCCCTTTTGGGGCACTTTTTAAAAAAAAAGTGTTATGGTTACAGGGATCATCTTTTCCTGTAAGAGGACAGACTTGTTGATTACAGCGCTAAAAACCGGCCTTGAGCTTTTCCAAGGTCCTTGTGTGACCTGGAGTCTAGGGAATTCTTTTTCGTATTTACGTCTCAGTGAGAGCAACATCCGTCCCAAGTGTGTGGCATTTATTTACTGCTGAAAAATGAGTGGTGTGCTCCCCCCCATCCCACTCTTCACAGTTAAGAGCACCAGATGATTATGCAGATCGCTGTACACTGGAAGGCAGGTGAAAACCGGTGATGATCAATCACAAAAGCGCCCGTGGCTCCCAGGCTATTTAATCTGTGTTGTCAATGAAGAGGGGCCCGGAGACGCTGTGTCACTGGGAGTCACGGAAATGGGGAGATGCAAGCACTGGGTAATTGTGTTTGGAATAAATGACTCATTCAGCCAGGATCCCGGTGATTTGCAGGAGGATAAAGGTTGCAGAATTGTACATCTGTCTGAGACGGGACTCTTGATGTGATTGGTTCTGTGATTGCTCCGCACTTACTTCATAAATGGGAATACTCAGGCACATTCCTCGGTCGCGGGTTTCCATTACGGGCCGGATAGGTTTCTAACTGGCGGATACGCCTCTGCATTGTGTTTATATGTTTTTGTCAACCGTAAATCACTTTCTCTTAAGCAGGCACTTCAGATACAGTGTGTGGCCCGAGCGTGCATGT